AAGGCCAAGCTTTCATAATTTATGAATTTCCGTGTCATTACTTGGGATCTGGAAGTCCAAAGAAAGTCTGACTACATCCAAACCACCACAAGATAAGATGAAGGCAGCCTTTATTTCAGCAATTTGACTGTTTTATTCCAGACTTGTCCTAGGAATAATTTGTAATAGCTTAAATACATTTCTCCTTGTTGACACATATCCTAGGATGACAAATTGTCATATTTTTATCATTTTTCTTATGTCTGGTTGTATTACTTAAGTCCCCTTTTTTCTTCACTATTTTCCAGTAGCACTTGTGAGTGTTTTATGCATTCTGTGTGTGGTAGTAGATACTAGAGTTACAAAGACAGTGAGAAATGGTCCTTGAAGACAGGGAGCTGAGTACTGCAAAAGTATTGGCTGGGCACATGAAGAGATGTGTGGGACAGCTTCACATAAGCCAGGAAAACCTCTCAAGGACCGGGCTCATGTGGGTGGATGAGAAAAGCCAAGGGGTGAATGTCACTGGTCTGCATTGGCCTCCGTAGCCCTCTGGCAGCCACCTGGGGGCTCTGAGGGTAGATAGATGCTAAGCTTTGCCAAGGAGGAAGCAGCTCAGCATGGATGGATAGATGGACAGGCAGACAGATAGATGAATACCAATGCCATAGCACACGGTAAAAGGATCATGGAGAAAAGAATGAAGTATTCTGGCATCTCCCAGTCCCTGCTAGTTGATGGTTTTGGTTTCGTAAAGGCCTTTGTAAATCTCAAAGGCCTTTGTAAGTCTCAGATTGGAAATTAGTTCTGAAATTATTGGCTTTAGAGACTGTGCTACTGTTAACAAGCTGCTGTCTAAGAAGATAGACCAAGTTCCAGAATTAGATTTGAGGGCTGGGAAATGGCCGGTGGGTTAGGTGCTTGCTGTGTAAGCAGGAGGGTCTGAGGTTGATCCCCAGAACCCATGTGAAGAATCTGTCATGTTGATAAGCACTTGTGATCCCAGAACTGGGTGGGCAGAGATAGCTGGATCCCTGGTGTCCTCTGATGAGCAACCCAGTGGGTGTGCTCCAGGCAAACCATTAAAAGGGGTGGACGGCTCTTGAGGAAGAATAACATTTGAGGTTGATCTCTGTCCCCCATGTGCATGTACATACATATGCGCCTATACATACATGCACCCACAAGAAACCCTCACCCTCCATACTAAAACACAACAAAACGAAACAATTAGATCTGAGCCTGTATTTCTCTGATAGTTTAAAGTCTCCTGGAAGACTAGGGCCTCATAGAGAATGGTTTCAGATGATGCCTTTCTAGAGGGCAGTTTGACTGGCACTACCCACTCAGGACCTCCGGCCAGAGAGAAGATACCCCTACTTGCTGGGCATGACTGAGTCATGTAGGTCTCGCTATACTTGGCAGCTGGGGGGTTGGAACCATGAAGTCTTCCTGTTTAGGTGGTAGGGGTTACTTATCTGATACTGCTTTGGCCCAGGCTTTGTAGAGAAGAGTTACCACATTCCAAATCTAGGGGTTCTCACCTGTCTTTCCCCAGCCTCCCCTGTCTTTTTCTTGCTGTGGCTTCATCCTCGGTGCTCTCATCCGTCCCTGCTACAAACCTCTGTGCCTCTGTGCTAGAGGTCACCCGACTTCTTGGCCTCCAGGCTTGCTCCCATGTTGTTTGTCTTTCTTCTTACCTTCCTTTGAAAATCCTCTTTCTTTCTTCACAGGAGCAATCCTTTTGAAGCAGGTAGTTGTCATACTTCTTCAATTTTTGTTTTGTAATAGAATAATAATTAATAATAACAATGAATACTCAATTTATTTAATGTAGAGATACCCTTGGAATCTTTTGTAATGTCAGAATTGAAGACTGGATGTCATTGCCTTATAGGCCAACTGGTCTACCAGGCTGTGCTTGTTCATTTGGCATTTGGCAGAATCTCTGTAACAAAGAACCGTATACAGCAAGCTTCTATTTCTTACAACTTGTTCCCCCAAGTAATTCACTAAAGATTTTGGAAAGAGAAGCCAACATCTTTAAAAAAGGAGGGTGAGGGAAAAAGGGAGGGATATAAAAAAGCCCTTCAACCATTCAGTTATACTAACGGCTCTCGTGTTATTGTGGCACAATTACTTATAAATAAAAGGCAGAGGGAAAAACAGTGCATTTGGTAGGTGTACTCTCTGTTCTCTGTCTTGTTTTTCTGGCTCTGAAGTATGGTGCTGTCTTGACGTAGGGATGTAACTGCTATGAATATTGATGGCATGGCAGCCAAAGCTTTTTTTTTTTCCTGTCTGGCCTAGTAAATAAACCAGCAAGGATGAAAGGGAAGAGGAATTGTCAAGTCAGTATGCTGTTTTTAGATTATCTCGTTCTCTTAGAACTAGTAGTCTTGAAAACACATTGACGATGCCCATTTGGTGATCGGAGCAGCTCTGAGTACAGCAGGTGGGTATTTTCAGAGATTGGGGCCTCTGGTTAAAGCCACAGAATTCTTTTCTTTGAGCTTTCAGAGTTTACATTCCTTCCTGGATCTCTACAGACCTCCCCGTGCAGAGTCTAGCCCTGACCCTCACTGTATGCACTGTATTGTAAGCGGGAGATTGTGTGGTGTGTTCCCTATGAGGGTGTCCACCTAGGATATGGCAAGGAGAGGACGAGGAATCTGGGTTGCAGACAGAGCAGAGACCTGTAGATCCATCCACATGTGGCTTGTGGTGATGGCTGCATACGTACTGCTCTGGGCATCTTCAGGGCTGCCTAGCCCAGAGGATCTGAGTGTGTGAGGGAAGTAAAGGGCAGCGGTGGGAAGGATGACCAGGAAGAAGTGGGAGGGGGAGGGGTACGCGGCATGAGCCAGCTGAGAACGTAACCTGTTTGAAGGAGCAGAGGTTATGAATGGGTCTGAGTTAGGGCTTTGACATCATAAACATACTGATGCTGACCAACTCAAAACGGAGTTTCTTAGACAGTTTTGATGATGTTGCAGGGGTCCAGAGAGCACTGGAGGGTTTTGAAGGGATAGAATCCAGGTCTGCCTAGGTAGCTCAATGGGTGGGGATGCTTGTTGCCAAGTCCCATGACCTGAATTCATTCCCCTGCACCCATGGTGGAAAGAGAGGATTGATAACCGCTTGTTTTTTTCATTGACCTCCACATAAATATGTACACACTGTGTGTATACACATACACATACACATGCACTCACACATGGGCAGGGGAAGTTAAGAGCCAAGTTGGTCTAGGGTTAAGGAAAGCAAAGTTGGTCAGTTGGCTTTTATGCAACCTGAGGGGTCAAAGGGGTAGCCACTGTCCTGTGTATAGTGTATATACTATAGTGTATAGTGTATAGGCTGCAGTTGGATATTGCGCTGTTGGCCCGAAGGGAAGATGTTGGTGGACAAGCCATGAAAAAGTTCTGTTCTGGGGCAGCCAGAGACAGGAGCCAGCTGTCTGGCGGCAGAGGCCTGCAGCCTAGGGGCACCCCAGACAACGTTGGCACTGAAATGCAGAAGAGCGCTGCAGCTTCTGCAAGCAAACGTGTGCATAAGTGTAGAGATATGTAACATGTTTAGGAAGGCAGGCCTGTAGGAGTCACCCCGAAATGAATATTTTAAAAAGGCGACTTCCAAAACAAGAAGTTCCTGTGCAGAAGAATTTCTTTTTAAAGGCATATATTAGCATTCATAAATACATGTCTGCCGTAGTGGTCACGTGTGACAGCGGTGTCTGCCTTCTCCTGTGTGATGGAGGGGGGAGGGCACAGGAGCTATGGCTGGGACCTGAAGCTTCCGCACAGGTGGAGAAGGGCTCACCCACCAACTCTTATGATTTTAGTGGTTCTCTGTGTCCATGCCTAAAACTCCCGTGTCCTCCACCGGACCAGAGGTTTCAAGAGTGGGACCAGAGTTGGGATGTTTTTCTAATCCTCTCTCCTCCTGTGGTGTCTGTCATGGGGAGGAAGAGCTCACTGTTTCCTGAGCCAAATTGGGTGTAGCCTCCTGTAACGGGCATGTTAATGAGGGAAGTGAGTCTAAGGATTAGGGGGCTCTAAGGATGATAGTAGCAGAGAGCTCTAGAGCCCACAGAAGAGCTCTCGTTGAAGAGTTTTTGTTTTTTTGAGTAGATTGAAGTCAGAGGATGCTGCTTGGTTACATGTGACCCTATCCATCTGGGTTTCTATCAAAATTGGGGCTATATAAAGAAAACATTTATAGAAGGAGGCCTACATGTTTAGATCTGTTGATTGAGGTACCCTTTTCTGCTGGTGGAGTCATGAGGTTGGAGTTGCCGAGGTTTTAGCCACCAGGCAGTGCTACAGAGGTATGTGGCAGACAGATGGGAGCAGCCACGGGTACTGAGATGGAGGCGGGTCTGTACCTGGGAAGGTTGCTTGGAGGTCATCAGCAGTGCCAGCCAGAAAGAGGAGGCATGCCAGTCACCAGGCTGCGCCCTCAGCATCTGAGTTTGCTGACCCCCACCTGTGGGTGAGGGCAGTCCGATATAGAATAGACTAGGTACTTGTCCAAGGTCACCTTGCTACTCAGTAACAAACTGGCTTTAACTTGAGGTGTCAGAGGAAAACCCAAGAAGAAATAAGGGTCAAGTCCATTATGACCTCGGTTATTTTCCAGGGGCTGTTCTGTTCAAAGTCATTGTTGGGATGTTTGTTTCATCCTTGTGCTTTTCTGGGCCTGATCTGGAAACATGCTGTGTTGTGCAAATGTGTGCAAATAGAAAACATGCCCGTTATAGCCTAGGCAGACTCATTGCGCATGCATCAGAGCAGGGGGCAGGATGCAGTAATGCAGCCTGGAATGGTAGGATTTAACACTTAGCAGCTTATGGGAGATTGACATGCTTTCCCAGCCCAGGTGCAGGGTAAGTGGTTCCAGTTCTTGTGATAAAATTGTAGAGGGAAACGCTTATGTCTCTGAGCTGTTGGTTCTAATGCTTGTTTACTTATTTTTTTAATTCCTCCTTTCACCCGTGGTACATTTGTTTCTCTTTACAGGAAAAAGTAGAATATGCCTTCCTGATTATTTTTACAGTGGAGACATTTCTGAAGATTATAGCGTATGGATTGTTGCTGCACCCTAACGCGTATGTTAGGAATGGATGGAATTTACTGGATTTTGTTATAGTAATAGTAGGGTAAGTCCCTCTTGCTTTGGGGAAATGTTTGTGGGCTGGGTGGTAAAGGGTACATATGCCTTTTTGGATAAGATGGGCGTTCATATACCAGTAATTGCACCGGGCCCTGTCAGGAGTTCTATTTGATGCCGACAGGACAGAGTCAGGAGTGAAGCTGTCTCTTGACTGGTATTATGGTTGGGGAAGTCAGTAACACTCTGTTGGAGGAGGTCTAATGAGAGATGATTCACCTCACAGGGCCTTGAGTCTCCACAAATAGACCTGCCCTGGTGGTGGGCGGAGTCGAGCGAATGCAGCTCCTAAAATTTAGCACCCTGCTAGTTAAAAATGTGGGTATCATATGATAAAGCTTTCCAAGCAGCGGGGTACTTAGCTGTTTAATATCCCTTGAGCAAGGCTATTATGTTTTTATGCTGACTTGTGGGAGAAGCTCTGGCATGCCATTTTCCCATTTTAAATAACAAGACAAGTGTCTGAGTACTGTCATATATATGGCGTAAAATAAAATAAACTAGAAAATGCGGTGAAGCAGGTTCATAACCCTATTGCAAGAGGAAGACGCTGGTAGATTTAGTTCAGGGAGGGTGTTGGAATGAAAAGTGGAGGTCTGTGTCGCTTTGTTCCTTCCGCACCTGGAGAGGCTGCCAGCAGAGGGGACGTGAGTCGGAACTCCAAAGCAAATGCCCACCCAAGGAAGACAGTATGTAACCCTGATCTGGGGCTGTATGAGCTACTCCTAAAAGTATGCTCGTTTTCATCAAGAGTGATTTTAAAGATGCATTTGCTTTTACTTCTTATGTATCAGTGTTACACCTGTGTGTGTGTGTGTCTGTCTGTCTGTCTGTCTGTGTACCACGTGCATGTCTAGTGCCCACAGGAGAGTGCCGTGTCCCTCAAAGTGGAATAACAGATGGTTTAGAGCCACATGTGGGTGCTGGGATTCAAACCCAGGTCCTCTGCAAGAGCTACAAGTGCTCTTAACTGCTGAGCCACCTCTCTGGTTGTGAGAGAGCTTTCAAAATTGTCTCTCTGCCTTCATGCCAGCAGCTCTGCTCAGCTGCCTTTTGCCGTTAACCAAGCTGAGTTATCTTTTGGACTATCTCTTTGTATCATGACTCCTCTGGTTTTTCATTGGAGATTACCTTTTTTCTGCCTGTTCGGAGGGCCGCTTAAGTTTGGGGATGTCCTTTTATACTAAAAAGGGGTAGCCCATTGGATGGTTAGACTCAAGGGGAAGAAAGTTAGTTTTTGCAAAACTTCCCATGGTACATTGGCATCTAAGGCTGCATTGCAGAGGTAATGCATCTGAAATGAATGGGTAGCAGGTAGGCATGAAGGCAAATACCTCCTCTTACTTGGCACATCTCTCAGGAGTGGTAAGCTGCAGCCTGGGGAGGCCTCTGGGCTCTGTAAGGATCTTGTATCTTCCCTGCCACTGACTTTTACTCAGCTAGAGAATGGAGACTGCTTAGCTTCATCCCCCCCCCCTTTCCCACAACAGCGCAGCACAGGAACAGAGAAGCAGGGTTAGGAGATACAACTTCAGGAGACCCGAGAAACATGAAATGGGAAGGGAGAGAACCAGTCAGAGAACAATAGAGAGAACGTGTGTGCCTTGGGATCCTCTGCAGTTCAGGCTGAAACTAAGCTCCGTTCCATGAAGCCAGGCAAAGAAGATTGTTAGGGAAAAGAGAAAGACAGAGAGCAGGAACTATAAAATAAATAATAACCAGAGTGTGCCTAAAATTGAAAGGTGTTTGTCACCCAAATGCACAGAGTAAGTTACTGCATTGAACACCCTGGACTGTCAGTGGACATCCCAGAAGTAATGGAATCAACCTGCATCCAGAGTAGAGTTTGGTAAAACTATGGCCAGGGGACTAAATCCTAGTCCATCCAGCCTGCCACCTACTTTTATAAATAAAGTTTTATTGTATCATAGCTGACTCATCTGTTGACATCATCAAGTTGAGGAGTCCAGGTCTATAAAGCCTTATAATGTTTACTGTCCAGTCCTTTACAGAAAAAGAAAAAAATGCTATCCCTGCTCTAGAGTAAAGACTCCTTGAAGCTTAGATAACAGTGTTTGAGAAGGAGCCTGAAGGAGAGAGAGCTGATAAGCACGTCACTTAATTACTTACAAGACTTTTCAAAGGAAAAATAAAATCTGTAAGTCATTAATATTGGAAATATGAAGAAGTGTGACCACTAACAGGAGGAGAGTCTATGACTAGAAACAGACCCAGAAACTACACAGATGGAGGCAAGGGACTTTATAAGGTTTTAAATACAGTGGCTACGATTGTGACTGTGGACTTAAGATGACATACGACTGCAACAGGGAAAGACAGAACAACATGGAAGAAACAAACACACAGAACCTGAAGTTTTGAAAAGTCCGTCTGAAGTGACAAGTTCCCAAGATTGGCTCAGTAGCATATTAGCCAGTAACAAATTAAGAAAAAAAATGCACTCTGCCCACTACCTTGTGAATTACCTAGTGTCCTATTGTGTGTGTTTGGAGTCTCAGAAGGAGAGAATGGCAGAAGAGACAGCTCAGCAGTTAAGGAGTACTGGCTGCTCTTGCAAAGACCTGGATTTGCTTCCCAGAACCCACATGCCAGCTCTGTAATCCCAGATCCAGGGATCCTACGCCCTCTTCCGGTGTCTGTGGATACCCACCTCCATATGGTGCAGGCAGGCACGTACAGGTGCATGCACATACGTGTGCACATAATAAACGCATCAGTAAATCGCTTTTAAATGGGAGGGGGAAGACAGAGAAGAAAGTTCCGACACAATTGTCCTACATGATTCAAATATAGAAAATGAACTCAGAAGGTGGAGATTTAAAAACACACACAGAGAGAGGAAAAACACATCATAACCACAGTCAAAATGCTAAAAAAGTAAACAGTAAAGAGAATCTGAGAAAAGGAAAACAAAGACATCTCAAGTACAAGGCAGAAGACAGTAGATGCACCCTCAGAATCCTAGGGGCGATGTCAACTTAAGAGTTCTCACCCAGTGAAGTTCCTTCCAAAACCCAAGTCAAAACAGAAAACTTTTTTCCAGACAAACCAAAGCTGAGACTTCCTGACTGACAGACTTGCACTTCCAAAAAAAATGTTAAAAGACAGCTTTTTAGGCTGAAGAAAGATGACATCAGGTAGAAGTGAAGATCCACACAAAATAAACGAGGAACTCCAGATGGGGTGAATTTAAAGATATTATTTTTCATTTTAAAATCTCTTTAAAGGTAATTGTCTAAAGCAAAAACAGTCGACAACACATTGACATTTACACCTTGGCAGCAGTAAAATATCTGACGGTGGCATGGGACAGGAAGATCATTGCGGGCTCTTGTCAAGTATGCGTACAGTAGCTAGACTGGTAAGATGCTGTTTGAAGAGAGATAGATCGTGAGCGATTCAAAGTGCGGATTGTAAACCCCGCCGGAGCCTAGATTGGTGAACTACCCACCCTACACCCCAGGGCCTAGAGTCATCCCTACTTTACGTCTGTGTCTCCACATTAGCTAGGCATTTTGCTACCTACTTTTGTCAAATAAGGTTTTATTATAATCCAGCTGTACTATACTCATGGCTGTTTGGTCTACTTGATGTTTAATGACAGAGTTGATTTGTTACCCCAGATATCCTGCAGTCTGCAAATCCTAGAGTATTTACTGAGTCTCCCCTCACAGAAAACTTCTGTTGACACTTTCCCTACATGAGCCACCAGAAACACAGAGCTTTAATTGTTAATATTAAGGCAACAGTGAAGAGTAAATGCAATTGGAAGAAACACAAGAGCAAAAACAGGTAGTTCCAAAAAAAAAAAAAAGTACAGAAGAAAAAAAAAACGGAAAACAAATAACAAGATGGAAGGTTTAACCCAGCAACGCCCTGTAATAACACCATGAGTTTATCAGATTGCCAGATATAAAAACAAGACTCAACTTTCTTTTTTTATTTAAATTAGAAACAATTTATCAATCACAGTTCCCTCACCCTCCCATGTCCCCCCATCCCATCCCTCTTCTGCTCCATAGAAACGGTGACATCTTCTATGGGAGATCATCAAAGTCTGTCACATCATTTGGGGCAGGGCCTAGCCCCCCCCCCATGTGTCTGGGCTGAGAGGGTATCCCTCTATGTGGAATGGGCTCCCAAAGTCCATTCGTACACTAGGTGTGAATGCTGTTTCATTACCAGAGGCCGCATAGACTGCCCAGGCCTCCTAACTGACCCCCGTGTGCAGGGGGCCTGGTTCGGTCCTATGCTGGTTTCCAAGGTGTCAGTCTGGGCTCCATGAGCTCCCCGTTGTTTCTGTGGATTTCCCCAGCATGGTCTTGACCCCTTTGCTCATCACTCCTCCCTCTCTACAACTGGATTCCAGGAATTTGGCAGAGCTTAGCTGTGGGTCTCTGCTTGTGTCCATCAGCCACTGGATGAAGGCTCTAGGATGGCATAAAAGGCAGTCGTCAATCTCATTATCGGGGAAGGGCATTTAAGATTTTAAGATAGCCTCTCTCCAACTGCTTGGATTCTTAGTTGGGGTCATCCTTGTAGGTCTTTGGATTTTTCCCTAGTCCCATATTTCTCTTTTAACTTACAATGACTTCCTTTATTATGGTATCTCTTTATTGGCTCTCCTCTATTCCCCTCCCCCACTCAATCTTCCTGCTCCCCCATGTCTTCCTCCCCCCTCCCCTTCTCCCCTTCTCTTTCTCCTAACTCCCTCTCCCCTCCCCCTATGCTCCCAATTTGCTCAGGAGATCTTGTCCCTTTCCTCTTCTCCAGGGTACCATGTATGTCTTAGAGTCCTCTTTGTTTCCTAACTTCTCTGGAGGTGTGGATTGTATGCTGGTAATCCTTTGCTCTATGTCTCATATCCATATATGAGTGAGTACACACCATGCTTGTCTTTCTGTGACTGGGTTACCTCACTCAGGATGGTTTCTTCTAGTTCCATCCATTTGCCTGTGAAGATTCCAT